CGATAATCAAATTTAATTAATTCATCATAGATTTGTTTACAGAGAACTTTTTCTTTATGTGAATAACTAATCATAATATCAAATGTTTTTCCATCGTTGATTTCTGATGTTATTGGACGATTTTCATGATTAATATTAAGATTCCATAGAATTCCATGAATAATTTTACACATTTGTTCATTATCACATTCTTTAGCTAAATGAGTTAATTTAGACATAAATAATGAATTAGAATGAAGTTGTTGTTGAATATCTTGATTAAATGAAAAAGTCCATATAATATCGTATACAATTGGATATTCATCACACATTTCAATAAAAAGTGATAATCTGTGTCCATCAAAAACTTTTTGTTGAATAGTACTACTCTTTGATAGAGACATAAAACCTAGAAAATATGAGAATATTTATTTTGTTAAAACAAATCTTTACTAAAAATTTACCTCGTAATAAATATATAATTGGAATATGTTTATATTTTTTCAATGGATGATTCCATCCTTGTTCAAGTATAGTAAAAAGAAGGTTGCAAATATTATCGGTAACTTTTAATTCTTTTAATCTTTCGTCAGTTAAAACTTCACTTAAAACAGAATATGCACATAAAGAGAGTTTGTCACACGATGAGTTTTCAGCAATAGTCAAAAGTATATCAGGTAATAATATATTTGAACGAAAAAAACAAATCATATTTTGTGTTTGTAATATAAATAATAAAAATTTTAAAATAATATCAATTAAAATGAGTACATTATTCAATGTTCCACTTTTAATTTCTTTATAAAATGGTTTATAACTAATTATACGAATAAGTCCTTGTACAAGATTGATAGATATTTGTTCAGTAGAAAAAAGTATTTTTATGTGTGTTAATTTTTCTCCACCCCACCAACAACATCCACAAATAAAACCAGTAAGATAAGTAATACAAATAAGCAGTTCGTTACTCCATGATTCCATCGTATGACTATGAATATTAATTATTTGTAAATATTTATTGCTAACATGATGTAATACTTCTTCAGGAGTAAAAAGAAAATTTTGAGTTTTGGCAGCTAAATATGAACTTAATGAAAATGAACATGTTTTTATATAAAATAATTGTTTCGTTGTGAATATTGATTGTGATAAGTTTGTTTGTTCAAGTTGAGTTAAATAAAATTTGAATTGATCCGTCATAACATAGTTGCGTCCGATATATTGATTAATATGACAAATAATAGGTGATATGTCAAACTGAGGATTTTCATAAATAAAAAATGCTAAATTATCAAACCAAACACTAATTATGGCGATACATGGATCATTATCGTCATCGTTTTGATTGATTTGTTCAAATATACTATTAATTTGATCTATTGTACAAGAAATAAGAAGTAATGCTTTTGTTTCAACTTCAATATTATCAAAATTACAAATTAAATTTTTATTAAACGATGAAAGTGTTTGAAATAAAGTTAAATAATTTAGTTGATTAATCCATTGATAAGAATCATAGCTAAGTTGTTGCCATGCCCATTGTTCTAAAACGTGTAATGATTGTATGGATTGAGAAACAAACGATGGATAAGATTCTAAAGTTTGCTGTTCAATCAGAAATGTAAGTTTTGAAACAATATCAATTGGTAAAGGAGTTATGGAAAGTGCATTGACCAATTGGTCAAAATTATCTTGTACCATTTAATAAATATCTCGCTTAAATTATGAATTTATGTAAAATAATACAGTGTCCTTAATCAGTTTATTTATGAATGAAGTTCTCATAAATAAATTGTCTGATATAGTTATATACCATACTTTTATTTGTTCTCAGATTTCAGCGACAGTTGACATCAGGTTTAATATTACTGAGGTATATTTTTGGTGATTCATTTGTTGAAAAATATTTTTATCGTCACAATCTCTTCTTTTTTTTTAATATGTTCCTACGAAGAAAAGAGAACTAATGTCAATATTGAAATAGTTCCATAATTTATGTATTGCTAAGTAATAACTGTCAAATAAAAAGAAGAATATAAGACACAGATATTCAATACTTATTATAAGACATAATAATTTTTTAATTTTGAATAGAATAAACTTGAATAGAATATTGTTTCGGTCGAACATATACATAAAAGAAAGGTAACTCGGACATTTCGATAAAGACAATGAATTCCTATATTTCTTTATTCGAACAAAGACAACAATATTGTTATCATTTTCTTTACATAACTGAATTACAATAAATCATTGTTCGTATATGGCAATTTTTTTTTTCATGATACTACTATGCTTTTAAAGCCCATTGTCGATCAAAACGACAAAGATACTTTGAAAAGTATATAGATCTTGTACAAATCTCGTATTCGACTTGTTCTGTGGAAAAGAATATTCATTCCATTTGTTTTCATCTGATGATTTTACGAACAATGTTCATGTATTAAAGCAATAAGGGATTACCAGAATTTATTTAATCCAGCGAGTTTATTAATAACATATACTACACTTTAACGGTCTAAAAAAAGTACCATAGTTTCCATGGATTAGCTCTTATACTCAGTTAGGTGCTTGTCCTCAATCTAATCTCTTTCGTTTAACAATAAACTTTAAAATGAGATTTTCAGAAAATTCTCTAAAATTAAACCCTGAAACTTGCTGAATGCAAATAAGATGCACAATGCGAATGAATAATTATCTATTTCATGATATTACGGCGTATTTATAAAAATGGATGAATTGTAGATAATTATTTCATAGATAGTATTGATGAATATGATCAGTCATAGACAATTGATTACAGCAAGGATTATTGTGTAGAAGATATGAAAGAATATTATAGCAAGGATTGATTATAGTAATAAATGGATCATTATAATCATCATTTCTCAGGGACATTAAGTAACCGATGAAAGATTTTTTTTTGTAAAGTATGTATTCAGATGAGCTGGAGATTGATATGGGCAGATATTAAAAACAAGGGTGAATTGCACGACAGGTGTGTCTTATTATTATTATATTAGAGCGGTAAACTCTTATCTCAATTGGATTAGTTCACCTTGTTAATAAAGCTTTATTCCTATTTCAAAATTAATTCGCACATTCCAAACTCAACTAAATTCGCATGTCAATTGTGATATATCTATATATATAAGTGTTTTCGTCATCAGGTACAGATAGGAATGTTCTGAGGTAGTGAGGATTTGAGAAACGGAAGGTTGAGTATTTTTTTTGAGAATCAATGAGCGAAAAAGATGAATAATGGAGAAAAATAAAAATATTTCAAGATTACAGAATCATACCCTAGATCATCCCCTATTCGAGACACCTTTGGTCATAGATAAAAGTAACATATGATTTTTATGCTAGCGATTTCGTTTTTTAAAAAGATGCAACGTTATGTAACAGCTCTTAGTAGTCTTGTTGATAAAAATGTTGAGTAAAAAATTTTCTTGACTAGTGTTTGACAGTAAGTCTTTTACTAAATAATTTGAAAGAATAATTTGGCAGTAATGATCTGCTAGTTTCTTATTGGAAAATAAGATTTATCTAATGAAGAATTTCATTGGATAACCTCTAGCCAAAACTAAAGTTTGAATAGCATTTACGTAGATTTATTTTGTAAAAAAAAATTTTATGTAGATAGAATCAGACTTGATGTTGAATACTATCCTTGAATAACTTTTCTACTAATAAGTCTAATTTCGAAAATTAATTTCTAATAATCATAAGTTTGTGTAAATTGTTATTTTCAAGAATGAACATAATTACAATAGAATCAATTTCATCTTGATAATATCAACGTGTCAAAATAAATAAGAATATATTCAAGATGTAAAAAGTAAAAATCGTAGATATAATTTTAAACAGTGTCTACTTATATTTTTGGAAGTCACGTATATTTTCGAAGAAAATGGTGAGTGTAAGTTTTAAGTCAAAGTTTTGCAGCTTCCAATTCTACATCTTCATAACCGAGATTAAAGACGATGAACAATATTAATAACAAGGATTAGAAGATTCTAGAACCTTTCTTGAAATTTAAATCAAGAATGATCTTTTAATATGTCACAACTATCATATGATCAATATAATAGAAGCATGAACTGATTATTAGTTCTAACTTTTCGGAATCATCAATACAAGTGTTTTGGATGTATTGCGATACATAATAGATCGTTGGATTTTATTGTAGCTATAAAAAAAGTTTAGAATAGAATTTTTTATCCATTAAATCAATGGTTAGACTAGTAATAATAAATTATGAAAAGAAAATAAATACAAAGCATATAGCAACAAGACGAAAAAGCAGAGCATCAGTCAAAGGAACAAGAAGACAAAAATCTCCGTTTGACATGTAAAAATTTTAAAAAAGACATAGCATTTGTTGGCAATCGATTATCATTCGAAAAAAAAACATTCGTCTTTTAAAGATTTTACATTTTGTTTATTTTCTATTAGTATAATGAAGTCAAAGAAGATATGCCAGTTCTACATTTAAAATCTAAATAAGCTGCATTAACAAACTTCTGTTTTCCATCACAATAAGACAAGTAGTTTAGCTCTATGAAGCATATTATCTACATAATATCATTATTAAATAAAACAACTAAGTGTTATTTTTATCATTGCTTGTACTGTTTCTTGTTTCTTGACTAGAAATAGTTGATTGAAATAGTCGTTTTTGTTGATCCATTAAAGAACGAAACTGAGATAATTCTACTAATGATAAACATTGATTTGTTCGTCGAAGTGAATCTTCTTGAAGCATATTTAAAATTTGTTCCGGTTGACCATATTTTATGTATCTATGCAGATAAATCAAACTTCGACCATCATAATTCGTAAGAAGACGAGACATTTGAACAAGATTATGTTTGATAAGCCAATCTTGTACTTGTTCTTGTGTCCATTCAAGAATATTATGTGAATCTATTAACTGTGGTGATACAAATGCACTAGAAATTTTAGTGTCCATATCTTTTTTCGGGCTTACAGATACTACATGTTGTTCATGAGTGTTTTCAGCTTTAAGCTCTTTAAATAACATTTCCATTGCTTGAGGAAATTCATATTTAGTAAAATCAGCATATAATAATTGACCAATAAGAAATAAAAGCCATCCATCAGCTTTATAATGTTTTTGTAACAGAATTTGAACTATTTTACGTTGCATTTGAAATGCATATTGTGCTTCAGCTCGGCAATAATTACTTTTTC